GCCAGATTCTAACACGAATCTTCTCAATATTTCTTACGTTTTTCTTCACTGTCGGGGGTAATTGAAAAATTAACTCTCCGAAGTTGAAGAGTTAATTTTTCAATTACCACCGACAGTGAAAAAAAGCGTAAGAAATACAGTATTGAGAAGATTCGTGTTAGAATAATTAATCTTACCCTTTCAGTCATATTCAACAACATATGTTTGCAAGAAAGATTGCTACCAAAATACTGTACACTAATATATATATATCCGGTAATGGGTAATAACACCGTATAACACTAATATAATTGTTTATTGTAACAGTGACATACAAGTTACAGTGATTCTCCCAGGCCAGGCAACGTGGGAGTACTCTTACATGGGCTACTTAATGGGTTAGTTTTACCTCTATAAATATACTGAGGTTTCTCATTGTCGGGGACAGGAAGCCTGTTAGCTTTATCTATGTCCTTCTAGACCAGCTATTGACGACCTTTCTCCCTACGCAGTTCTCCCTGCAACCCACAACAGTTGCCTAACTCCCGGGAAAACTGGAGTACTACTTCCCCTGGTGGAGCCTGGGGGAGGTGAGGTGGCGCCAGTAGACGTCCCCGGCTCTCCAGGCGTCGAGCTTGTCTGGGTTGAGAGGTGCTCCGGACTTGGAGATGTGGGCGTGGTAGCCGTGGGAGGCGAGCCAGTCAACCATCCTCTGAAGGGTGTGGGCGCGGCAGGGGGCGTGGTACTTGTGTCGGTTGTTGGCCACCACTGACCACTCCATGAAGATGTACGGTACAAAGTGTTCCTTCAGGAAGGTCTTTCCTCCCAGCACTGCTCCGCACTCCCACCCTTCTGTGGAAGCCAGACACTTACTGTACGATGGTGGACTACAACAGTCCCCCCCCCCCCCCACACACACACACACACACAGATCTTCACACCCAAGGAACAGCTTCCTACACCAGCAGAACGCTCACCAAGAAGGGGACAAGGAAATGAACAGAAGAAAGTGAGCTTCAAGGCAATGTACACTAACATAGATGGGATTACAAATAAAACAAGTGAACTCGGAGAATGGGCACTAGAAGAAAACCCAGACATAATAGCACTCACAGAAACAAAGCTAACGAAAACCATAACAAATGCAGTGTTTCCACAGGACTACTATGTAGTGAGGAAAGAGAGAGAAGGGAGTGGAGGAGGTGGTGTAGCTTTGCTGATAAGAAAAGGTTGGAGTTTTGAAGAGATGGTTAATCAGGGCTGTGAAGGTTTCAGTGTGAAGGTTTATATCAGGCTCCATAGCAACTGGAGGACAGAAAATTATAGTAGTAGTCATATATAAACCCCCACCAAACGACAGAAGACCCAGACAGGAACAGACCAGATACAAGATATCATTTGGGAGATGAAATACTTCAAGAGTCAGAGAGAGAAAAAGACCTAGGGGGTTCATATCACGCCAGACCTGTCCCCTGAATTTCATATCAAGAGGATAACATCAGCGGCATATGCCAGGTTGGCTAACATAAGAACGGCCTTTAGAAACCTGTGGAAGGAATCTTTCAGAACATTATATACCACATATGTCAGACCAATCCTGGAGTATGCGGCTCCAGCATAGAGTCCATATCTAGTCAAGCATAAGACTAAACTGGAAAAGGTTCAAAGGTTTTCCACCAGACTAGCACCTGAACTGAGGGGTATGAGCTACGAGAAGAGACTACGGGAATTAAACCTCATGTCACTGGGAGACAGAAGAGTTAGAAGGGACATGATCACCACATACAAGATTCTCAGAGGAATTGATAGGGTAGATAAGGACAGACTATTTAACACAAGGGGCACACGCACTAGGGGACACAGGTGGAAATTGAGTGCACAAATGAGCCACAGAGACGTTAGAAAGATTTTTTCAGTGTCAGAGTAGTAGACAAATGGAATGCATTAGGAAGTGATGTGGTGGAGGCTGACTCCATGCACAGTTTCAAGTGTAGATATGATAGAGCCCAATAGGCTCAGGAACCTGTACACTTGTTGATTAACGGTTGAGAGTCGGGACCAAAGAGCCAGAGCTCAACCCCCGCAAGCACAATTAGGTGAGTACAATTAGGTGAGTACACACTCACACACACAAACAGTCGGTCTCTCTCTCTCTCTTTCTGTCTCTCTCTCTCTCTCTCTCTCTGTTTCTCTCTCTGTTTCTCTGTTTCTCTCTCTCTGTTTCTCTCTCTCTGTGTCTCTCTTTCTCTGTGTGTCTCTCTCTCTGTCTCTGTCTCTCTCTCTGTCTCTCTTTCTCTGAGCCAGTGACCATTGTTTCCTGGTCTTTGACTATATATATAATGCTAAACTATAATGCCCGATCTCAAAAGCTTCATAGAAGGTTGTAACAGAACCCATGAGCACCACACCAGAAATAAATACAGTTTTGATATTCCTAGAGTACGACTTAATCAAACCAGAAATGCTCTACAAATCAAGGGGCCCAGAATGTGGAATGACCTTCCCAACCATGTTAAAGACTGTACCTCTCTCAACCAGTTTAAATTAAAAACGAAGCTATACCTAATAAATTCCCTGTAACCTACCTTACCCCTCTGTTGTCAACCCATGTATGTTTTTTTTTTTTTTTGTGTGTGTTTTTTCAAATCAACGCTGTTTGAATGTAATTTTCTGTAATAATTTGTAATTGTATTTGTGCTGCTTTTTCAACAATGTTCCCCCCTCTTTTACCTCTATTTTTATTTGTACTCAACACATTTTATTCTTTTTACCCATTAGTTTTAAGCTTTAGTCATTAGTGTTTTTTCCTGCCCGAAACGCTTTGCGTAATAGTGGCTTTAGGCATTGTATGTACTAGCTCTATCTATAAAGCCAACAAACATTGTAAAATCTCTTTATGTATGTACCTTTACCTAAATAAAAATTATTATATATATATATATTATTATTATATTTGAACTCAAAAGAATGACTATATATGAAGGACCAGGAAATGAGAGTAATTCCAAAAAAAGGTTATTATTGAGAGCATCTTAAGAGTATCTGGGAAATTGGCAATGTGAGGATGAATTAAGGGGAAAGAATCCATGAAATAATGTATAGAGTCAAACGGATATGCACAGAGGCTACACAGAGATACACTCCAGTAATAGGGGACATACGTTCGAGAGAATATATAAAAAACAGGAGGATGTGGAAAAAAATCATTGGGCAGAAAACAGGAGAGCATCAGTATAAATGCAGCATAATTAGGAACGAATAAATAAACATAAAATAAGTATCATAAATAATTGAAAAAGACATTGCATGCAAAGCAAAGAAACAACGGAAGTTACTACATAGACCCACTTGAAGGAAAATGACAGTGAATGATCAAGTTACTAGATTATGCAAGAAGGGGTGGGGGTAGGGGTAGGGGGTTGGGTGGGGTGGGGGGGGGGGAGACGTAATATTTGACAAGGAAATTTGCGAGATACGAAATGCCAGTTGCCGTGGTGTGTCGGTGACTGAGGTGGGACACCCACCAGTGCTGGAAGAGAAGGTCACCCTAGATGAGTGTCTTCATCTTCATAGTGTTCTACCTTGTGCTTTAAAACTGCACTATATCTAGTGCTACCTAATCCCCCAATCTTTATGTACCTAATCCAAACAACTTTACCACTGTGTTCATTGCTGTCCTCTTATATGTGCTATCTATATGCTGTATTGTGCCTATTAATAAATTACCAATCAAGCTGTCAATGCGATCAATCAGAGCTACCGATATGCTTTATTATACATACTAATCTCACTCATCTCATTTTTTCTTGCAATGTACCTGTTATCACTTTATAATTTTTAGATAAAATTTACCTACTTAAAATTATGTTAGATTAAGGACCTGCCCGAAACGTTGCGCGTACTAGTGGCTTTACAAGAATGTTAACACCATGCTATGTATCCTCACAAACCCAATGTACCTTCTTGTATATATATAAATAAATATAAATAAACAAATAAATAAATGAGGTGACAAACATTGGGATAATAGCAGAGGAAATAACGAGGCAACTAGCATCAATGGATGAAACTAAAGCTATTGGACCAGTCAATGTATCATCTTGGATCTTAAAAGAAGCTGTGTATGCATGCTCTCAGTTTACCTCCAGCTCTGATTTTTTTTGTTCAGTTACAAATGGAGTTTTGCATAATTTGGACACAATATACCAAAAGGGGGATATGGAGGAGGCATTCATCTACGGACCATTATCACTGACAAGCATCCCTCCTGCAAGGTATTTGAAAGCACAATAAGAATAATACTCGTTATAAAGCACCTAGAGAGGATTAGGTATGCAGGTATGTCACCAAGGCTTTAGGAAAGAGAAACCATCCTTAACGAACTTATCGTTAACGAGTCCTAAATGTCAGTGCAGGCGATTAGTCACAATAACGTGGCTAAAGTATATTGACCAGACCACACACTAGAAGGTGAAAGGACGACGACGTTTCGGTCCGTCCTGGACCATTCTCAAGTCGAAGAATCGACTTGAGAATGGTCCAGGACGGACCTTCACCTTCTAGTGTGTGGTCTGGCCAACAACCTAAATGTCAATGTTTGCGAACATTGTAAAATTGATGAGAAGAGCTGAGATGTATGAAGATTGTAAGATACTCCAAGAAGATCCAGGCAAGCTGGAAGAGTTGGTGTGAGAAATAACTAATGGATATCAACGCTAACACGTGTAAGGTGACGAGAATGGGAACAGGTGCCAGGAAACCAGGCGGACGGTTCACAGCGAAGAAACACAACGTCCCTGTAACAGCTAGAGGAAAACACCTGGGAGCGAATATAACACCGAACTGAATTCCTGGGGCACATATATCTATACGATGACGTCAGCAGCATGCTGTACGCTGGCAGGTCAGAAATATCGTCCAGGAACCTAAATAAGACGACATTTAAATCACTGTGCACCGCGTACTTGTCAACATCTCTTAAAGTATGCATCCCCACCTACTGGAACCTCCCACCTTAAAAGGCACATAAAAAATTTTGAAAAGCTTTAGAGATTTAAAACCGGGCCTGTTTTAGAATTGTACAGTAAGATTTTATTTTCTGGGATGCAACAGTTCATACTTCGTACATTCCAGCCAGTCACCACAGGTACTAGGATGTCTGCATGATGGGTCACACCAACTGACCGACATCAATCTTGAGGAGGACGATGGAGGTGTTGACGAAGTGGTAGAGGTGGTCGAGGGTGAGGGTGGTGACCTGGTCGTGGGGTCGTGCTCTCTGGATGGCCTCCGCCTCCCTGGCCGTCGTCTCCACTATGGACGTCCCGCCAAGGTTACCATCACGGTACCGCAGCTGAAGCAAGTTAGGCTACTGTGAGCTTGTTTAGTAGTGAGGATGTATTAAGCTGTCAATGTAATCAATCAGAGCTTTAATATAACAATGTGCTTTAATATACTTACTAAGCTCTCTCATCTCATTTTTCTCTTGCAATGTATCTTTATCATTTATCAATTCTGATAGAAATTACCTACCTAAAATTATCTGTTAGATTAAGGACCTGCCCGAAACGCTGCGCGTACTAGTGGCTTTACAAGAGTGTAAATACTGTACTATCCAATGTATTCTCACAAACCCAATGTACCTTCTTGTATATATATAAATAAAATAAAATAAAATAAAATAAAATAAGGTAGTTGAATACGTGCATAGTGAGCTGGTTAAGTAGTTTAGTGTTATTGTCATAGTTAAGGAGGTTGACACAGGTTGTTAGGTAGTCATGGAATAACAAGGTCATTGTGGTAGATATATGTAGCTTCATAAGGGACAATACTGTGTATCGGACTTTAATTCCGTGACCTTTCTAAACATTTCTTGCTCCTATGTGTTAACTATGACCTTAAGTGCCGACAAAGGTTATAGAGCAGAGAGCAGACTGTGTTATAGACAATGTGCACGCTTGTAAGACCTTAACCAGATCTAAGGCATAGAGAATACACACAGAAATCACAATAACGTGATATATAAAATAAACAAATCCCCAAGGGCCTTGATGAAGGTTCGAACCTACGCACGGATGTTCCCTGATGCGCCTTGGTCAACTGTACCACAACATGGTCCAAAAAATTGGAACTGGACTGCTACTGCCCTCACGAGGCTCCCGAAGCTTCTCAGAAGCCTAACCGGGGTTTTACACAATCCCCCCCCCCCCCATGCACCCAAGCTGTCAACCACATCTTCTACCTCTAAGCCCCTACTTCAATACACACATAAATTACAATAACGTGATATATCAAATGAACAAAATAGTAGTATATTATTTAAATAGATTATCATTTTATTATTATTATTTAATATAATTAGGGTTGGCTGAGATATTAGTGTTGTGATGGTGTTGGTAAGGGCTGAGAACTGACCTTAGCGTAGAAGCGTTGGTCAGCTATGGCATGGAGGAGGATGGTGACCTTGTCAGCGACGCCGCCAGCCACCGCGCCTGCCTGGAGCCTCACCGCTGACGCCCACACCGGCTCCACCGCCACCGCCCGCGCCCCCAGTCGCGCCCCCAGCAGGCTGTACACCCCGACGTGGGCCCCGAGGTCCACCACCGTACTCGACCTGTTGGAACATGGCCCGAGGTGGTCACACATGGCCCGAGGTAGTCACACATGGCCCGAGGTGGTCACACATGGCCCGAGGTGGTCACACATGGCCCGAGGTGGTCACACATGACCCGAGGTGGTCACACATGGCCCGAGGTGGTCACACACAGCCCGAGGTGGTCACACACGGCCCGAGGTGGTCACACATGGCCCGAGGTGGTCACACATGGCCCGAGGTCGTCACACATGGCCCGAGGTGGTCACACATGGCCCGAGGTAGTCACACATGGCCCGAGGTGGTCACACATGGCCCGAGGTGGTCACACATGGCCCGAGGTGGTCACACATGGCCCGAGGTAGTCACACATGGCCCGAGGTGGTCACACATGGCCCGAGGTGGTCACACATGGCCCGAGGTGGTCACACATGGCCCGAGGTGGTCACACATGGCCCGAGGTGGTCACACATGGCCCGAGGTAGTCACACATGGCCCGAGGTGGTCACACATGGCCCATGATAACTCTTCGTTATCAAGTGGCTCTCAATTACAGGTCTCGTGTAATTGAATATATATATATATATATATATATATATATATATATATATATATATATATATATATATATATATATATATATATATATATATAAGAAAATGTCTATTTGGTGTGTGTTTGTATTCACATAATTGTGTCTGCAATATCGAACATAATAGCTCTTCGACCCCGCCTCTCTAAGCGTCGGTTGCTTAAAGCAATAACTCCTATCATATTTCTCTGTCATATTTACTTTTTAAAATTATAAATGTAGTTTGCTTCCATAACCTGATCCTTTAGTTCATTCCATTTCCCACTACTCTCACGCTAAATGAAAACTTTCTAACATCTCTATGTCTCGTCTGAGTCTGAAGCTTCCACATGTTCTATTTGCATTCAATGTGTCCATTTCCTTTATTTCTACTCTTGTCTGTTGACAGAATAGAAATACCCCCTAAGTATTTTATACTTAGGGGGAGTATATGGTGTCTCTGCCCTCTCTCATTTCCTCTAGGATCGTCAGGTACAGTTCTTTCAGTCGCTCTTCGTATCCCATCCCTCGTAACTCTAGGACGAGCCTCGTCGTAAGGTTTTGAACCTTCTCCGATTTCCTTATGTGTTTCTTTAGGTGGGGGCTTCATGATGGGGATGCGTACTCTAAGACTGGTCTCACGTAGGCAGTGTAAAGTGTTTTAAATGCCTCCTTACTTAGGTTCCTGAATGATGTTTTAACTTTTGCTAGGGTAGACTGCGCTGCTGTCGTTATCCTATTTGTCTGTGCCTTTGGAGTTAAATTTGGTATTATGTCCACTCCCAGGTATCTTTCTCGAGTCGTCACAGGTAGGCAGTTTCCCTTCATTGTGTACTGTCCCTTTGGTCTCCTGTCACTTTCCCATTTCCATAACTTTACATTTGCTCGTATTGAACTCCAGTAGCCATTTCTCCAACCATCTCTGCAACCTGTTCAAGTCCTCTTGGAGGATCCTACAAACCTTATTTGTCACAACTCGTTAATTTTGCATCATCTGCAAACATCAACATGTAAGACTTAATTCTCTTGTTAGGTCATTAACGTATATTAGGAATAGAATTGGTCCCAACACCGATCCTTGAGGTACTCCACTCGTTACTGTTCGCTAGTCCGACTTCTCGCCCCTTACCGTTACTCTCTGGCCCCTTCCTGTTAGGTAGTTCCTTACCCATGCTAGGGCCTTTCCGCTTACTCCCGCCTGTCTCATGTTTGTATAGTAATCTCCTGTGCGGTACTGTATGAAGGGCTTTTTGGCAGTCCAGAAATATGCACTGTCCATCCTTCCCAGTCCTGCCTTATTCTTGTTTCTTTATCATAGAACTGCTGTAGGTTTGATAGGCATGATTTGTGTGTACTCACCTAGTTGTACTGTATGTGTGTACTCGCCTATTTATGCTTGAAGGATCGAGTATTGGCTCTTGGATCCCGCCTTTGTAGAAGCCGGTTGTTTTAAAGCAATGACTCCTGGCCTATTTCCCTATCATATCTAATTTTAAAATTATGAATAGAGTTTGCTTCCACAACCTGTTCCTTAAGTGCATTCCACATCCCACTACTCTCACGCTAAAAGAAAACTTCCTAACATCCCTGTGACTCATCTGAGTTTCCAGCTTCCACCCATGTCCCCTCGTTCTGTTAATATTCAATGTGAACATTTCATCTATGTCCACTCTGTCAATCTTCCTATTTTATATTTTTCTATCATATCCCACCCTCTCCGTCCTTTTTTCTAGCATAGTCAGGCTCAGTTTCTTCAGTCGCTCTTCATACCCCATCCCTCGCAACTAGGGACTAGCCACGTCGCAAACTTCTGAACCTTTTCCAGTTTCCGTATGTGTTTCTTCAGATGGGGTCTCCATACTGTAAGTCTGGTCTTACGAAGGCAGTGTGAAGCTCCCTAAATGCCTCCTTACTTAGAAGCGTGAGTGAGTGAGTGAGTGAGTGAGTGAGTGAGTGAGTGAGTAGGGGGGTGGTGGGGGGGGGGGTAAGACTCACGGGTAGTAAGCGAGGGCCGCCGTGAAGAGAGCAACAATGTGAGGCTCCCAGGTCCCCTCCCTCAGCAGCTGTTCCGAGATGAACCTGTCGTTCTCGGAGTCGTGCGGACACACCGGGTACTCTGGCTCACACCTGTAACAGTTGTCACCCCGTTACCACACCTGCAACAGCTGTCACCCCGTTACCACACCTGCAACAGTTGTCACCCCGTTACCACACCTGCAACAGTTGTCACCCCGTTACCACACCTGCAACAGTGGTTACCCGGTTACCACAATTGTTATGGGATTGTTGCCGTTATTTGGTCTAAGGGCCGCGACGACAGAGGTGCCCAGTAAGGCTCCAAGGGACCGGCGGGGGACCAAAAGGCTCCATGGGACCGGCGGGGCACCGTAAAGCTCCAAGGCACCGGCGCAAAAGCCTCTATACAAAAAGCCTTGCACCTATATAAAGTAACCTTTGGGACACCCTGTATTAATGGCGTCTGTTGGCGGACACAAGCGCGTCTTGTGACGGGTAAACACACTGGTAGACAGATGTTTAGGGAGCCCCAGGACACCCTCGGGAGGCAGGTGCTGGCGCCCACCTAACACACAAAACACCGGGAGCCAAACAATATCATGGCAGGAACTCGATGGCCTCTCCTAAACTCGTATCCCATTGGGTAAAAACGGCTTCCACTGACGTCCAGAAGACCAGGAGCCATTATTATAAGATTAACATTTTCATTACCTTATTAAAAAATTAACAACATTTTCTCATTACTAAATGTTAATTTGTAAATTAACAAGATTTTTCCCATTTATAAATGTTAATTTATAAATGTGAACATAATTTCAAGTTTTCTGTATACAGATAACCAACAAATGTTGGATCTTGTGTACACTTTGACTCATCTTTACTCATCAAAGAGTAAAACAAGCTGTATTGTTCCACACACAGAGATCACACTAACGTGATGCATCAAATGAACAAATCCACAAGGGCCGTGACGAGGATTCGAACCTGCGTCCGGGAGCATCCCAGACACGAATCCTCGCCACGGCCCTTGTGGATTTGTTTATAAGCTGTATTGTTGTTACGACCCCTGGGGCCTGTATTGCACTCTGGCAATTGGGGGGCGTATACCAATTGTTTATATATGAAATTGGGACCCTTAATTCACTCATGTATGTATTTTAATGTGATAGGCCCTGAATGTGTTTATTATTTATTTATTACTCTTATTTCTTAAGTGTAATTAAGTACTACGTGCCACCCTTGAGTTCTAAGTGTAATTGTGTTTATGTTCCCTGGTTACACCCTTGAGCTCCATGTAACTAGATCTAGATATTGACCATTGAACATGTGTCTGATATAATTATACTCATTTAAGTTAAGTGTTTTATCCCTTAAGAAAAAGTAGACTTTACCATTAGTTTGCTGTATGTGAATCTCGTCTCCTGCCTTTGTGGATTCCGAGAGGTAACGTAAGGTAGAGGTGGTAATGTATGCGTTGTACTTGTGGGGTCTTAGGGTTAATAACTTATATTAAGGTAAACTTTAGCTGGAGTTTCCATCACCCATCTGGTTCAGGGTTAAGTGATCTGCACTAGTCAGCAATCCTTTCATTATTTATTTGGGAACTGTTTCCCTGGGGGCCGGGCCTATCCTAACCCCATTAGGTGGAACTCCCTTACCTTGATCCTTACTGTAACTCATACAGTGCCCACATATAACAATTGTCTTCTATGTTTCTGAGGGCTCTAAGGATATGTAGTCCTGCGTTTATAGATAAAATAAGGGCCATATATATAATCTAAGTTTCAACATAAAGTACCTTAAGTCATTTATTGAGAAAGTCAGCCAAATTGCTCGCAACACTTTCTTTTGTTTGAAAATGAAAGAAGAATCCAGTATTAAGAATACAATAATTCTGCCATTTTATGATAATTTAAATGAAATTCATAATTACTTAAACAATTTAATGTCAATGTTGCATTTAAGACTCTTGATGTCATAAAAACACTCATTAAAATCTCCCCAGAGTGTTGCAATGGTTGTGTGCATAAACTTCTATGTAAAGATTATATTAAGTTCTGTGTTGGCCAAACATCTTGACCAGAGAATTAAAGAACACAAATATACTATAAGGACTCGCATTGGTCCAGTGCATTGTTCAGTCACTTAAGAGATTGTAATCACTCAATTGGCTGGAATAATTCATGCAAAATTTTGGAGTGTAAATCAGTTACTGGAAGAAATATTATTGAATTTTCATTTATAAAAAATAGTGAATTAGATATTGTATGGTGTAGGTGTAGTAATCAAAAACCCCTCTCTTCTCTGTCTGTATTCCTTGATAATGTGTTGAAACATGAAACACGAAATAAAAACATCGTTCGAAATTTTTATTTTATTTCCCTAGTAGATACTCACTAACATACACCTATATATACACATACAGGTTTTCTGTTACCGAAAAAAAGTAGTTACACATAAATTAAGTGACCCCAACAATCTACAACTTTCCTTGAAAAGTAACCACTTCATAAGACGTATTCCAAACTTGTAAATGAATATACTCAGGTATAAGAGATAAAGCAAGGAAGTGGGCGTCCTGACCTGGTGGTGATACACTGGAGCTCCGGGTCTGGTGGGTGAGACATGTCCAGGGTCACCATGATCCTAGGGGCGCCTCCGCCAGGCAGGAGACGCTGTAGCAGGCTCTCCTCCTCCACCACGCTCACCACCACCCCGGGACCACCAGCCTCCATGGACACCCATCCACCCCAAAAAGTAATTGATATAAGACAGATATATGGCACGGGTATGTTGGTAAGGGGGGATTGAGTGTAAAACTAGATTAGTTTATCTTAAGTACTAATAAATTTTCTTTTAATGTTTTGTGAAGTTCGTTTTGCCTTGGTTTTCATTCAAGTTCTGAATTTTCTTGGAGAAACTTTAGTAATTATACAATGTAATTATTTATTGTAGTTTTTATAATTATTAAATATTATAATAATACAAATAAGTAATAATAAGTTCTAATAAATACTATAGAAAAAAATTACATTGTTTACATGGCTTACATGGATATAGATTACGAATTTACAAATAGTTAACAGTTTTTGCTACAAATTACCTACTTAAAATTATCTGTTAGATTAAGAACCTGCCAGAAACGCTATGCGTATTAGTGGCTTTACAAGATTGTTAAAAATCAATGCTATATACTCTCCAACCCAATGTTCCTTCTAGTATATATATATATATATATATATATATATATATATATATATATATATATATATATATATATATATATATATATATATATATATATATATATATATATATAACGCAATCCTTTAGGCATTTGTCTTGTATGTTTTGTAACCTTTAAATACACAATAAAGGAAAAAAAAAAAAAGGGAAGGGGGGTGGTAGGAGAAAAGCACATAGAAACTGCATTGGAGGGGACCTACATTCCCTCCAATGCGTTATGTGTGGTTTCCTCCGAGGCTATGGGTCCCCCTTCTTCCAGCCAGAGGTGGTACTCCCTTCCCTATTTTAAATAAAAAAAAAAATATATATATATATATATATATATATATATATATATATATATATATATATATATATATATATATATATGCGAACAAGCCTGAATGGTCCCCAGGACTATATGCGAATGAAAACTCACACCCCAGAAGTGACTCGAACCCATACTCCTAGGAGCAACGCAACTGGTAACTACAGGGCGCCTTAATCCACTTGACCATCACGGCCGTCAAAAGGAAGTGATAGCCAAGGCTATTTGAGCCACTTCCCCGACGGCAACTCGGATGGTAATCTTGGGCATAGCATTTCACCAAATCACCTCATTCTTTGGGGCACACGTGAGGAACACAAATGCGAACAAGCCTGAATGGTCCCCAGGACTATATGCGAATGAAAACTCACACCCCAGAAGTGACTCGAACCCATACTCCCAGGAGCAACGCAACTGGTAACTACAGGGCGCCTTAATCCACTTGACCATCACGGCCGTCAAAAGGAAGTGATAGCCAAGGCTATTTGAGCCACTTCCCCGACGGCAACTCGGATGGTAATCTTGGGCATAGCATTTCACCAAATCACCTCATTCTTTGGGGCACATGTGAGGAACACAAATGCTCCTGGGAGTATGGGTTCGAGTCACTTCTGGGGTGTGAGTTTTCATTCATATATATATATATATATATATATATATATATATATATATATATATATATATATATATATATATATATATATATATATATATATATATATATATATATATATATATATATATATATATATATATATATATATATATATATATATATATATATATATATATATATATATATATATATATATATATATATATATATATATATATATATATATATATATATATATATATATATATATATATATATATATATAAGGTTAAGCCCATCATGCATTATGAAATTTGCAAATGACACTAAAACCTATGCTAAAGTGGGAAGCGAAAATGATATTGAGACCATACAAAGAAAAGCCTCAATATCCATAAACGGTTGCAAGATTGACAAATGATTTTTAACATTGATAAATGCAAGACCTTATGGGACTTCTGATTCCCGTGAAGCAGTGGTAGGACACTCCCCGCGCTTCACCAGCGATTTGGCCTGGGTTTGGCCAGGCTCCCGCAGAGGAGGAGTCGAATCGGAGAGAGGCACAGTAATCAGCCCAGGCCTTGCGTTTGGCAAGGAGGACTGTTCGTCTACACCTGGCGTCCGCCCTGCGGAAGGTCTGCCGCTGCAGTGGAGTAGGGTGGCGCCGCCACGAATTCCACGCACGTCGCCGGTCCAGTACTGCCTGCCGACATTCAGGATTCCACCACGGTGCCCCACGGCGGGAAGGATTGGTTGTCTGGCCACTAGTCCTCCTAAAATGCCGAGAGCCTACACTGAAGAGGGACTCGGAGAGAGCATCTGCTGACCCATGCAGATCTGCAGTAACTGCGGGAAGGGTCGACCAGTCATCCGCCTCATAGCCATGCCACCCCTCTTCCGAGAAGATCCATTTGGATCTTCGGGAGGTAAGAGCAGGACGAACAGTACCCCCGAAGGAGATGACGATGGGCAGGTGATCACTACCCAGGTATGGCCCGGTTCATATTTGGGCCATTGTGAAGGGGCCTCTTCCAATGCAAAGATCGAGCGTTGAAGTATGTCCATTTAGTGGGTTTATCCGAGTTCCCAAACCTGGCGGCGTCAGTAAGGAGAGGTCTGGGGAGTCAAGGAGAAACTGAAATAGGGCTCGGCCAGCCATATTGTGGTGGCGACCCGATAGCATAGGTTGCCATGATGAGTGCCGAGCATTAAAGTCACCCATGACGAGGCAGGTGTCTGATCTGACCAAAATAGTGTTCTAGTTCCTTCTTTGTTACCGGTAGACAGGGGTTATACAGAACTCGAAAGGTGCCCCACCCATGAGAGAGGGCCACCTTCACTGCCATGAATTCTAAATGTCCACCCAGGAAGGAGTGAATTCGGAGCAAGGAGCTGGGAACTGAGTCCCTGACCAAGAGGGCAAGTCCCCCTCCACCCCGTACTGGCCGATCTTGTCTATAGACCGAATACCCCGGCACCGTGAAGGAAAGATCGTCTGTAAGTCAAGTCTCACAGAGTCCCACGATCAACGGTGGTGCGCTGGCGATAAAATTGCGTAGAAATTGCGTCTTCTTAAAAAGGGAGCGGGCATTCCAAAACACCACAGTATTCTCAGGATGGGGCGCCATTATCCCTGAAATACAACAGCTAACTTTTTGACCACCAGTGCACAGATGTCTCCAAAGGGGAAACTACTAGAAAAAGCCATAAAACCCTCATACAAAGTAAGTAAAATGTGTGGTATCAATGACAGCCAGTCCAGAGGATGTTGATCAATGCTTCTCTCTGCCTGACGGAAGCGGTGATCGGCTCGCGAACTCTCTTGACGGCGCCTGCGACTGGTGGGTGCTTCACTCTGGGCCGGTGTTCCATGCCATGTTCCACCGGTGTCACAATCCCTTGGGAAAGTGCCTGGGGGACCAGAGGATCATCAGGACTGTCTGTAGGAGCAGTACCTCCTGATCGATGGGTGTGTCGACGACGCCGGTGTTGGCTTCTTTGGGGAGAGGCAGGAGGGTGACGAGTGCCAGGCTCCGGCTGAGACTGAGCGTCCATGTCTGTATCCGTGGATGAGTTTCCGTCCATGTCAAGGCTACCCAGGAGGGAAAATCGATTAGCAACCTGGGCGTATGAGGCATATAACTGGGACAGGCAAGAGCGTCTGCTAGTTCCTACTTGTGAAGAGGCCCGACCAGGGGGAACCTGGAGGCGAGAAGAAGCGATAGGCTGATTGAGGGCGCGCAACTTCTGGAACAGCTCATGTCGAGGTGCCCCCTCTGTTTTATGATCGATGTCCAACTAGAGGGCCTCAAGATATGCAGGGCAACTCTTTGACGTAACCTTATGATGGCCATGGCATAAAAAGCTGCGAGGTGCAGCAGAGCACCCACTGTTATCTCTGTCTGTATGGCCTGTTTTGCCGCAGTTTGCACAACGTGCTGCATTACGGCTGGTCAGGCGACTGTGGCCCAATAGATGACAAGCGTAACATCGTAACACAGGGAAATTGTAGGGCTGAACCTGATACGAGGTCCTGTGTAGTGCCACTCGGTCAGGGAGGTGCCCCATCGAACTTTACACGGACCATGGATGTCGGCCCTGCTGCTCCGCGAATCCTGGTAACTTCCAATAATCTCGCTGATGCACCCCATAATACCTGCAGAGCGGCCTGGATGTCATCCACATCTACACTCTGGTCAATTGGGCCAATCTTCTCATACCAGGCCCGAGACTCCTCCTCCTGCGACAATACCTGTCGGCACCTGACAGGCCAGTCCCCCAACTTAATAATGTCGGATACACGGATGTGTGATAGAGCCTCCTTTCTGATATGTAGCTTCAGTGCTGCACTCCTACCCAGGGTACGTATGGTCTCAGGCAGGCAATGTGGCCACAATACCGAAGCCTCAATTGCTGCACCTAAGGTACGAGGATTTGCAAACACGCACTGACCTGATTCTGACTGGATTAGGACTACCACAAACGAGGAACGGGGTACCACAAGACTAAGGTCTTCTGAAGGGGAAGACATCCTCTTAGTATCTCGCTCTGGGGCAGCATCAGCCTACTCATTTTCAAGCAGACGTTTCCCTCTCTGGGACTTGCTGTCAACATCCATGGCGCCCCCGCTCGGGGAGGCGTTCATTAGGGAGGCTCCGGCCTCCCCCCGGTGCTGTGAGCCCCTGGGTAGCTGGAGTGAGCACACACTGGCCCAAAGAAGCCAGCTGAATTCAAAGATGAGCTCCAGGTAAGGTGTGGAAAGAAAGTCCAGCCAGGAACGTTCAATCCGCGCGCCAAGATCTTGAGGTTATCTTGAGATGATTTCGGGGCTTTAGTGTCCCCGCGGCCCGGTCCTCGACCAGGCCTCCACCCCCAAGAAGCAGCCCGTAACAGCTGACTAACTCCCAGGTACCTATTTACTGCTAGGTAACAGGGGCATTCAGGGTGAAAGAAACTTTGCCCATTTGTTTCTGCCTCGTGCGGGAATCGAACCTGCGCCACAGAATTACGAGTCCTGCGCGCTATCCACCAGGCTACGAGGCCACCTCGTAGCCGACCTTCGGACGGGAATCCATACATACCCCCTGCAGATCCTGATGTTGCAACTGCTGTGTTGTGGTCACTGTACATCTTTCGCATTGCTCTATTTCTAATGACTTTCTTAATCTGTGATAGATTCTGTGGCATGTAAAGTCACATTTCTTCTCTTAGTTGCAAGTTTTGCAGCTTCGTCTGCAATGTCATTTCCTATTATTCCCACATGACTTAACACGCAGCTGATAAGAACCCGAAGCACGTTGTCGTGTGACAACATCCAACAGATGGATGTTGTCACATATGTGTACCTGTTGCAAGGTTTCAGTGGCAGTTCTCGAATCTGTATGTATGATAACATGTTGTCGGTGTTCAGCAAGAGCTTATTCCAAAGCCTTTTGAATGACTAGCATCTCTGTTTGTAAAGTTGAACACCCATTATCACGTTAATGTGATTTCTACGTGGTAATAATAATAATAATAATAATAATAATAATAATAATAATAATAATAATAATAATAATAATAATAATAATAATAATAATAATTAATTTACAAGAAGGTACAATGGGTTTGTGAGATTACGTAATATTGGTCTTCTACATTCCTGCAAACCCATTAACACGCATAGCGTAGCATTACAAATTGAACTGAATTATTCCAAGCTTTGCGTATTTTTGGCTTTATATAACTCTGTACCTACAAATATTCCTCACTATTACGTTCTGATGTATGCATACTTTATGAATAAACATTATTATTATTGTCGATAGTTACCTTTAACTAACAATAAAATATGTAATACCATAATATAGGAGCAGCCTCGTATGGGCCAATAGGCCTTCTACCGGTACCTTTATTCTTATGTTCTCAACAAGCCACAATGGAGGACAGAAAACAAGAGAGTTTTTTTTTTTTCACTGACTTATGGAGTTATAAACACGTTGAACCGCCTATCCGCCGAAGCAATGAACTTAAAATACATTATTGTACTTCAGTTTCTAATCCAGATAGGCAAAATCCTCATGAATATTATGGAGGAGATTTGACAAGCCGCCTGCTTCCTGTCCCTGTGCAGGCCATTAGACACATTGTGTCGCTCAAGTAAACTCCGAAAAATATGTCTTATTTCCCCCTCGATTTTACTCGCATAAACATAATAAGACTAACTGTGGGAAATAATCCCTATGGGTACTGTTGCTCCCAGTACAACAGTACACTCACCAGGCTGCTAGTACAACGGCACTTACCATGTGTTGTGTCATGTGCGTCTTGTGTTGCTTGTGGTGGAGGTGTTGTGGGGCGGCCACCTTGCCCCCACCACCACCACGGCGTCCATCCCTCGCCACCAACACACTCCCAATCACCAACACTCCTCCAACCACCAACACTGTCAACCAATAACATCGACACAAAGTTACAAGACTCACTACGTACCATCCACAGATTATGAAGATATTAAATAAGGTAGGACTGTGGACACCTCCTTGCGGGGTACCAAGAGACTTCGAACTAGGTACCCCGCAGGGAGGTGTCCTCAGTCCTACCTTATTTAATATCTTAATAAACACGCTGTTAAACTCTATACCGAGCAAACCCAACGTCCACATCATTAGCTATGCTGATGATATAATGATACACACCACTGGGTATGCTGATGATATAATTTGGCACGCCACTGGGTATGCTGATGATATAATGATACACACCACTGGGTATGCTGATGATATAATGATACACACCACTGGGTATGCTGATGATATAATTTTGCACGCCACTGGGTATGCTGATGATATAATGATACACACCACTGGGTATGCTGATGATATAATTTTGCACGCCACTGGGTATGCTGATGATATAATGATACACACCACTGGGTATGCTGATGATATAATTTTGCACGCCACTGGGTATGCTGATGATATAATGATACACACCACTGGGTATGCTGATGATATAATGATACACACCACTGGGTATGCTGATGATATAATGATACACACCACTGGGTATGCTGATGATATAATTTTGCACGCCACTGGGTGTGCTGATGATATAATTTTGCACGCCACTGGGTATGCTGATGATATAATGATACACACCACTGGGTATGCTGATGATATAATGATACACACCACTGGGTATGCTGATGATATAATTTTGCACGCCACTGGGTATGCTGATGATATAATGATACACACCACTGGGTATGCTGATGATATAATGATACACACCACTGGGTATGCTGATGATATAATGATACACACCACTGGGTATGCTGATGATATAATTTTGCACGCCACTGGGTGTGCTGATGATATAATGTTACACACCACTGGGTATGTTGATGATATAATGATACACACCACTGGGTATGCTGATGATATAATTTTGCACGCCACTGGGTGTGCTGATGATATAATGTTACACACCACTGGGTATGCTGATGATATAATGATACACACCACTGGGTATGCTGATGATATAATTTTGCACGCCACTGGGTGTGCTGATGATATAATGTTACACACCACTGGGTATGCTGATGATATAATGATACACACCACTGGGTATGCTGATGATATAATGATACACACCACTGGGTATGCTGATGATATAATGATACACACCACTGGGTATGCTGATGATATAATGATACACACCACTGGGTATGCTGATGATATAATGATACACACCACTGGGTATGCTGATGATATAATGATACACACCACTGGGTATGCTGATGATATAATTTTGCACGCCACTGGGTGTGCTGGTGATATAATTTTGCACGCCACTGGGTATGCTGATGATATAATGATACACACCACTGGGTATGCTGATGATATAATGATACACACCACTGGGTATGCTGATGATATAATTATGCACGCCACTGGGTATGCTGATGATATAATGATACACACCACTGGGTATGCTGATGATATAATGATACACACCACTGGGTATGCTGATGATATAATGATACACACCACTGAGTATGCTGATGATATAATGATACACACCACTGGGTATGCTGATGATATAATGTTACACACCACTGGGTATGCTGATGATATAATGATACACACCACTGGGTATGCTGATGATATAATGATACACACCACTGGGTATGCTGATGATATAATGATACACACCACTGGGTATGCTGATGATATAATGATACACACCACTGGGTATGCTGATGATATAATGATACACACCACTGGGTATGCTGATGATATAATGATACACACCACTGGGTATGCTGATGATATAATGATACACACCACTGGGTATGCTGATGATATAATGATACACACCACTGGGTATGCTAACAGAACACTCTTAACTCTGTATTAGACTCATGTCAGGACCCAGGTTTAGTCATCTCAGCAGAGAAAACAAAGATACACAATCGGCGCCCACCCAGGCAGGGAGGAGCTGTTCGCAAGATGCAACTGTCTGATGGTTCCCAGCTTGACTATGTAAACAGTCAAGCTACATATACCTTGATATATGTAGCTTGACTGTTATATAAGTCAAATACCTTGGCCTTGAGGTGTCACTGTATGGTCCTGTTGTATTCAGACTCTGTCGTCAGTATAAAGAGAGGCTCCGGGCTCTCAAGGCTGTTGCAGGTTATCACTCAGGCTATGGTGCCAATGTCAGCATTGTCAAAATGATGTACCTTGCATACATCAGATCTTTAGTGGATTATGCTGCACCTCTGCTTGTTTTGATGCCTGAAAGAAAGCTTAGAGGGCTTGAAAAATTGCAGAACGAAGCCTTGAGGATAATCCTTGGGTGCCCTCGTACCACAAAGATATTTAATATGAGAAAGGAACTTAATATTCTGAGCGTTGTTGATCGTGTTACTGAAATTAACTGTCAAATTGGTATAAAAATGCTTAGGCTAACTCATCCTAACCCTTGCACAGAAGCTCTCCAGAATTTCTTTATTGAAGGTCAGCATTACTCCAGATTGATAACTAAAACTGGGAATGATCTCAAAATGTATCAGGTTCATAATTTGTACCAAGAGAAACAACAGCAGCACTTTCCTGCACCGTGGGAGGTTACACCCTTTCCAATTATAATCCCTTCCTTTTCACCCAGAAAACAAATTAGAGATCAGCCAAAGCTTCGTCTTGAGGCAAAGCTCAACGCCTTAAGCCATATTGATGCTCTCTCCACAGAGCATTCTCTTTCTCAGATCATATACACTGATGGTTCCCTACACCGCCCCACGGGTGCAGCTGGAAGTGCAGTTGTTCTGACAATGGGCGATGGCTTGTACTTTGAGTGGGGAGTCCGTATAAACAACTGGGCCTCTACCCTTCAGACCGAACTATTTGCCTTACTTCTTGCACTGAAATGTGTACAAGTCTCCAAACTTGATACATTAATTATAAGTGACTCTTTATCATCCTTAAATGCTCTCAATTCTTTAAGACATAACTGTTACATGCTCGTGTCCGAAGCTAGACACAAATACAACAAAATTATTAAGGATGATAACAGAGTCCATTTCATGTGGTCTCCATCTCATGTTGGCCTCCGAATGCATGATAGAGCTGATAAGTTAGCCAAAGAATCTGCCTTTAAAGGAGACGTTGAGTGTAACCTTGGATTGTCAATGAACAATCTGAGAGCAGCAGTACACCGAGAACTTCAACAAGATCTTGTAGATCTGAGGCAAAGTGAAATTGACACCAGTAATTCCATCTATCATCATACTATCATGCAAGAGGAGCCACACATCTATGGATCATCCAATAAAATCAGCAGACTTCTAGATGTTACTACTGCTCGGCTTAGACTCGGTTACAAGTATCTCTGGGAATTCTCATTATCTGCTGATGTAGACCTGACCAAATGTAAACTGTGTCAACAAAATTATTCGCACACCCTCCGTCACTATGTGATGGAGTGCGAAAAGATACGTGAATTTAGAGACAATTCTATAACCAATGTTCCAGCGATGTGTCAATATTTCATTCAAAATGATCTGCTACCAGAAATTTTAGCCAAATATCCCCAGTTTGGTAACTGTAGGTAGTAACTGAGTGACTGTAACCTATCCACCGCTGCCCACTGGATGGGGGGCGGTGTGCAGGACAAACATATCAATTTTGACACTAGCTCTCCACATATGTCAGTTGCTTAATTTAGAACCTGTACTTGAGGTCGATCTCGAACCCATTGTTGATGTGATGACTTATACTGAATTTTGTAACTAGCTCATCAAGATTATAACTTGTTTAGCTAAATGAATTGTGGGGTTCAGTCCCTGAGCCCATTATGTGCCTCTGTAACCCTTTCCACTACCGCCCACAAGATTGGTATGGGGTGCATAATAAATGAACTAAACTAAACCATCCACACAGCTTCACGGGTGGATATTCCAGAACGCAAAGGTATACTAATTTACATCTTGATATGTAGCCCTAATGGTATATAGTTGCCGAGGGCAAGGTTATATTAACATATAGGCCCCTAACAAATGGCAATGGTGTACACGCGGTCACCCATCCAGTTGGTGACCGAGTGAGAAGAGGACACATTCACTACGGAGAACCCTAAGAGTGCAAGAGTTTATATAATTCAATGTATATATGAATTCAAAACATGTGTATGTAGAGGAAGATGAAGAGAGGGCCGGTGGCGCGGTGACGTACCGAGCAGCAGCAGCAGCCGGCGGTGGTGGTGGACAGGTCGGGGTCTGAGGCGCCATGATGGCATCCCTGCTGCCCTCACCCCGCGCACATCCTGGCGCCTCGCTCCTCTCTCCTCTGATGATGATTCTCTCTGGAAACAATACTCCAACAATTAGTCACAATCTCCCTCCACAGTGCATCATGTAGCCACAATCTCCCTCCACAGTACATCATGTAGCCACAATCTCCCTCCACAGTACATCATGTAGCCACAATCTCCCTCCACAGTACATCATGTAGCCACAATCTCCCTCCACAGTACATCATGTAGCCACAATCTCCCTCCACAGTACATCATGTAGCCACAATCTCCCTCCACAGTACGTCATGTAGCCACAATCTCCCTCCACAGTACATCATGTAGCCACAATCTCCCTCCACAGTACATCATGTAGCCACAATCTCCCTCCACAGTACATCATGTAGCCACAATCTCCCTCCACAGTAGAGAGATTGTACAGGCACAATCTCCGTCTGGAGCATGTTGGTTTCGTTCTCAACTCATACTCGGGGATCCCGGGTTCGATTTCCTGGCGGGGCAGAGAGGGTTGAGTACACTTTCCTTTCATCTAATGTCTCTATCCAGCTATCAGAATAGGTACCCTGGAGCAAGGCTACTGTTGTGGGGTTGCTTCCTACAGAACCTTGATATAAACTTAAAATATATATATATATATATATATATATATATATATATATATATATATATATATATATATATATATATATATATATATATATATATATATATATATATATATATATATATATATATATATATATATATATATATATATATATATATATGTTATTAAATATGACCGAAAAAGTAAGATTAATAATTCTAACACGAATTTTCTCAATATTTCTTATGTTTCTTTTTACTGTCGATGGTAATTGAAAAATCAATTCTCCAAAATTCATTTTTATTTCTAGTCTGACGCGACGCCTGAACGCGTTTCGTAATAACTTATTACATTTTCAAGGACTTTAGTTTACACACACACAACTGTAACCTGAAAACACTTAACAGAGTTTTACTAATTCTAACGCTAAACAGCTTGTCTTATATACTCGCATTTTGGTGAGCTGATATGTTGAAACAGTTTTGGATGAGGTGAACAAACTTTTGACCAACGCAAGACAGAACACGGTGCAATGGGTATAAATTAGATAAGTGAAAGGTAAGAATGGAAGTAACTGCAAAGGGCCTACTGGCCTATACTTCCTCTTGATGCTTCTATATTGGTACAGAGTCTTGAAGTTGGTAGAATATAGTTGTGCATTAATTGGCTGTTGATTGCTGGTGTTGACTTTTTGATATGTAGTGCCTCGCAGATGTCAAGTCGCCTGCTATCGCTGTATCTATCGATGATTTCTGTGTTGTTTGTTAAGACTTCTCTGGTGATGGTCTGGTTGTGGGAAGAGATTATATGTTCCTTAATGGAGCCCTGTTGCTTATGCATTGTTAATCGCCTGGAAAGAGATGTTGTTGTCTTGCCTATATACTGAGTTCTTTGGGGCTTACAGTCCCCCAAGTGGGCATTTGAAGGCATAGACGACGTTGGTCTCTTTTAAAGCGTTCTGCTTTGTGTCTGGAGAGTTTCTCATGAGTAGGTTGGCAGTTTTTTTGGTTTTATAGTAAATGGTCAATTGTATCTTCTGATTTTTGTCTGTAGGGATAACGTTCCTATTAACAATATCTTTCAGGACCCTTTCCTCTGTTTTATGAGCTGTGGAAAAGAAGTTCCTGTAAAACCCAGACAGCAGGTCCTCCCTCTCCACGGCGCCGAAAGTCCCCAATGGAAAGGCGAAGGCCAATACGATTGGTTCTGTTATATATATATATATATATATAACAGAAAAACTCTTCCTTGTGAAGGATTCGAACCTTAGACAGTCAGGCAATTCAAACATACAAACTTATTCAGTATTATTACCAATATTCCATAGGCCGACTGTTCAAAAGTCATTGATAGTTGGAGTGTATTTACTTAACAACCGGCTAGCACTCGCCACGCCCAGAGATCACATGTTTCATTGAATATGCATCTTGGGTATATGAAACAGGATTTCTCTAAATGTTATCTTTGTTCGAGGTGAAGAAAAAGAAATTATTAACTGGAGAATGTATTACACTTATTATAAATTTACACAACATTTCGAACCTACCTGGTTCATTCTCAAGTGAAGGGACAGTGCTGATTTATTCCATTAGGGAGGTCAGGGACATAATACAAATAGGTGACGAGTACATCGTAAAGGAAGAATAGGGCATAATTGGGGACGGAAATAGGGACAAATAAAATACAAAAAGGGGGAGGTAATGGGGTGGTGTCGGGTGGGAGGGGGAGGGAGGGAGGGAGGGAGGGAGGGAGGGAGGTATAGGATGGTGTCGGTGGGAGGGAGAAGGGGAGGGGTGGGGGGTGAGAGGTAAGGGTGGGGGGGGGGAGAGTATATTGATCATCCTCCCACACTTTACAGTCTTCTGGATGCAGCAGTCTCCCTCTGGAGGGGGGGGGGTGGGGAGTGGGGATTGGTGGAGGTGGGGGGGGGGTTGTGGGAAAGTTGGAAGGAAGAGAAATTTAGCTGGTGTTTTATTAGGAGGTTATGTGATGGTTTGGTGGGGGTTATAGTTAGTTGTTGGTAGTAATTGTAGAAGGTTATAGTTGTCTACGTAATGACTTATACCTCATTCCCCGTTATATCTACTTTTCATATTATGAATGGAACTCGTTTTTACAACCTGCTCATTTACGTCAATCCATTTTCCTGCTACTCTTAAGGAAATGCTAAAAGAAAACTTTCTAACATCTCTAGTACTCCTCTAATTCTTAAGCTTCCATTCATGGCTACTGGGTTTGAACATCTCTTTTTCACTTTGTCTATCCCTGTAAGTATTATATAGGTCTATATCAAGTCTCCTCTTTCCTTTTCTCTAATATCGCCAGGTCTAGTTCTTTCTGTCTTTCTTCATGCCTCACCTGCCGCAAATCTGGGACGAGCCTCATTACAAATCTGGAACTTTCTTAGTTATATTCATTCATAGAATATAGAATAGATTCATTCTAGAATCTATAACTCTAGATTAGACTAAAATTCTAGATTAGACCATTCTAGAATTCCGACTAAAGAGCCTAAATCTGTACTCCCTTGAGCGCAGGCGGGAGAGATATATAATAATTTACACGTGGAAAATGTTAGAGGGGCTGGTCCCAAACCTGCACACAGAAATAACATCACATGAGGCCAGAAGACATGGCAGGATGTGCAGAATACCCCCGTTGAAAAACAGAGGTGCAACAGGTACTCTGAGAGAAAACTCTATCAACATTTTTTTTTTTTTTTTTTTTTTTTTTGAGATATATACAAGAGTTGTTACATTCATGTACAGCCACTAGTACGCGTAGCGTTTCGGGCAGGTCCTTGGAATACGATCCCCTGCCGCGAAGAATCGTTTTTTCATCCAAGTACACATCAGAGGCCCGAGACTGTTCAACACGCTTCCGCTACACATAAGGGGCATAACTGGCCGACCCCTCACAGTGTTCAAGAGAGAACTGGATAAGCACCTCCAAAGGATACCTGATCAACCAGGCTGTGACTCATACGTCAGGCTGCGAGCAGCCGCGTCCAACAGCCTGGTTGATCAGTCCAGCAACCAGGAGGCCTGGTCGACGACCAGGCCGCGGGGACGCTAAGCCCCGGAAGCACCTCAAGGTAACCTCAAGGTAAGGTAGAAGAAATTGATTTCCACATAATAACTACAATATGAGTTGATAACATTGATGATACTGGTGAAGGTGGAGTGAGTGTTCAGCAGGTTTAGGGACTTATACAGAGGGGCTGTGTGTTGTCTCAAGATGGTTGGTTATAGTTCGGATAGCAGGTTTTTGCTGGCTTGGCTTGAGGTAATTGATTGAACCCCATGCACAGATACCGTATGTTAAAAAGGATAGATTAACGAGTAGTATAGTGAAAAGAGAGCAGAGTGGGAAACATAATATCTGATTTTAGAGAGTATACCGACAGTTTTTGATACTTTTTTGGGGCTATGTGTTTTATGTGGGCGACTAATTGTTTACCATCCTTCTGGTCTCTTGGTTCCCATTACCATCACCGTACACTTACTTGTGTTGAACTCTAATAGCCATATATCGGACCAACTCTGCAGCTTGTCTAAGTTGATACTTGAAGTAAGTAAGTAAGTTACTTGAAGTAACTAAGATACTTGAAGTATCTTACTGTCTTCATCTGTCCCGACTCTTCTCATTAACTTTGCATCATTCACTAACATCGACATATAAGATTCCACTCCTGTGGTCAGGTGATTAATATAATGAGAGAGATCAGAGCAGAGTAGATGGGAAGTTCCTTGGTGTTCACATTAACGACAAACTAAATTTCAACGTCCATATACAAAATCGAACTAACAAAACAGTAGACATTCTCTCCAAAGTCAGGTACTATGTTCCTCGCCCTGCCCTCGTTAATCTGTATTATTCACTCATTTATCCATATATCACCTATGGTACAGTATCTATTCCCCGGGATCCACCACACTTAATTACCTCCGACCTCTAATTACTCAACAAAAATCAGCAATTAGAACAATCACAAATTCCAGTCCCAGACAAACACTCTGCTGCCTTGCTGAAATATTTGAACATGTTAATAAATATCAAGTCTGCATATAAACGCATTATCTATAATACTATATCTATAAAAATGTATCTATATCTATAAAACTCTGAACTGCAGTACCAATCCTGACCTTATAGACGCTTCCTAGAAAGCTGTAATAGAACTCAGGGTCACTACACGAGGAACAAATATCTTTGATATTCCTAGAGAGAGATTCAACCATAGCAGAAATGCTATGCAAATCAAGGGTCCCAAAATGTAGAATGACTTCCCGAATGTAATTAAAAGCTGTACGTCTCCCAATTAGTTTAAAAGAGAGACTAAGTAATATTTACTTAATATCATGTAACTAATTTTACTCGTCACAATTATATTATTATTATAATAAAAATTGTTTAATTAATAATTATTATTCTTCTGCTTGGTCCTGAAGGAAGTCGGCCTCGGGTGAAAGGGGGCTGTGACAATCTCTGTCTGGAACCTGGAGGTGCGGGGCTCAGACGTCCACCTCCTGGGGCTCGTGCGGCCCCAGACTCTGCTTCAGGAGGCTGGGATCGTTCCTGCCCTTGCTGGGGTGGTTCTTCTCCGGCCCTGACCACGTCGGTCTCCGGGTTTAGAGTCCCCGTGCCTTCTTTCACCAACTTTGAGGTAAACTCCGGAGTTGGACCCCCCTTGGGCAGCTCGTTGTTGCCTTCAACCTTCTGACAGTTCCTGCGACGACGCTGGAACCAATCGCATTGGCGTTTGCCTTTCTATTGGAGACTTTCGGTGCCGTGGAGAGGAACGACCTGCTGCATAGGTGACATCTTCTCCCCACGTATCCACTTACCCTGGCTTTGCGCCCTGCAGAGGCCACTCCAGACCGATAACCCGAGCACAACTCCATATGCAGTCTCCTGAGACTGGTGGATGCCTACTGCACAAATTCACTCACATTTCCATTCGTAATAAGATATTTTTGTGTTATTCTTATCTTGAATTTTACTAATAATTATGTCCTTTCTTCGTTGTCATCTAATTAGTGCATCTACATTTATAAATGTCTTACTCAAGTCATTTATGATATGTTTATTTTTAAAAGTTTGCCCCAGTAAACCTAAATTATAACATTATAAACTTCAATTATACTCTATGTTCTGTTCTGTTTTAGTAACTTTTCTAAATTACTCCTTAGTATTTCCGTTCTGTTATTAATGTAAATAAACTACTGTACTGTGGCTAGAACTACAGACTCCATGATGTAATAGTCTATGGCTGTCAGCATTATGTATCACCTTTTATTGTTGTTACGACCCTGGGTTCCTTAGTTGGAAACCAGAGGTCAAATTGAGCTCTAAATAATTACTTTACATTATTTGATAGGAGTGCTGATGCACTTTTGTTCCTATCTTCCTGACCAGACGTAAGACGAATCTTGTTTCTCACAGAGTATTCAGACTCTGAGCTTGTTGTTGATTATTAAAGAGTGAACTAGTTATCAGCTATTCTTAGAACTAGTAAAGTAACGAGTAATGAAGACCGGTGAAGACTTGTATTGTTTGTAGCTGCACGATCAGTTAGGTAATCTTCCCGGCAACAACAACAACAACTTGGGAGCTCGGAGACTGGAGGCTGCTGCGCTTGCTCTTTCTGGTCTGGCTGTGGTTGTGGGAAGATCTTCCCTGTGGGGCTCTGTCTCCATTCTCTTCCTCCTTCTCCCTTTCCCTTACCTTAGTCTACAGTGATTCTCTAAGTTAAGTATAACCTGTGTAACCGGTCTCTGGCAAAAGTTGTAGTTATTGTGTAGTATAAGCCAGTGTTTTGGGCATCCCTAAGTGTTTGTGTTGTGACTAGGGTACCATGTGGGGCTTAGCTACCCCAGGCTGCTTCAAGCCTTCGAGTTCTTTTCAAGTAGACATTACCCTAGCTTGTCCCAAGTGTAAGCCTTGTATCCTGTCTATGTGGACCAAGGTAGTTAACATAAAATAGTGTGGTAAAGTAGTTATTGTTATTAATGTATATGGGGGTTATAAGAGAGCTAATAAATAAGTATTGTGAAAGGAGTATCCATTCTTCCTGTGAAGGGGATCAGTGATCAACCGCTAGTCTGACGTATTTACTTCAAGTCACTAATTTAATATTGTTTTATGTTCTTATTGGGGGCCGGGCCTATCTGATCTCCACTGATTTCAGGAACTCCTAGTTTTTCCCTTAGCCCCCTCTCAATACCACCCTCCCATAGCAGTTACTTTTTCATAACAATTGTATTTATTTCTTAATTTCTTGAACATTCTCGATTTTGTTAGGCAACTTCTCTTTTAGTATTAAGTGTTTACCACCTTCACACCTTTAAATAATTGTTTTATCTAAATTATACTACGTTTTGCCGGAAATGCTTCGCGTAATATTGGCTTCATTAGTATGTGTAACTCCTGTGCTTACACTTGTACAGTGCTTGCATCTTCTTTGTACACACATTATTATTATTATTATTATTATTGGAAAGTGAATATAAAAGGCGAGAGTATGTATTCCACATAGAATGAGAGAGGTGAGATGTTAGACAGTTGAGGAAGTGTTATATAGTGACGGCCTGAGACAGGCGTCGTCTGGGACGGTGAGGTCAGTCTCGGTCACGTCGATGGCAGCCCCTCGTTGTAACCCGGCTGCTGAGAGTGTTTGACATGTAGTGCTTCAGCCATATATAATCACCTTTATTGTTGTTGTATCTGTCGAGTATTTCGGTGCTTCTGGTCCAAACACAAGCAACCAGGTATCAACCAGACCATGACCAGAGTTATCATGACCAGCAAC